CATGGTTGAAAGTCAAACATAGAATGCAAGTATAAAAGTGATGTGAAAATAGAGAAACTAAAAATAATACTTGAAGCTAGAATTGAAGCCCAAGATGAATATAACCAATATAAAACTATAAATGGCACATGTAATCAAAACTAAGCATCCAAAACTTCCTAAAATTGAATTAGATTTTAAATGAACATTAAGCAAGCTATATGAAAATATGATCTTAGAAAAAAAAAAGAACCGAATATAAAATAGGAATCAACCAACTATATACAACAAACTAGAAATAATGAAAAAACAAACTTAAACTGTAAACTAATTTTTTGTATTAGCTCATAATGATGAACAAAAAACTCTTTATTTAAGCTAAATGAAGAACTAGTTGAAGTACTCAATGAAGAATTAAATGGCCAAAGGAAGCATGTAAGAAAATATTCAAATAGTGCATAGAAACTAAATCCGACTTTGACCTATACTAGAAACACAAGAAAATTCAACAGAAAAAAAATTCAAAAAGTGATCATATGCTAGAAAAGAACTTAATCTAAGCTAGAACAATCTAGATCTATGAGTTAATTACCTAAATCAATAAAAAAATTGCATGAATGAACAATAAAATAAGCTTAATGAACTCAAATTCCAATTAAGTGCAAAATCTAGAAAAACAAAATGTATTCAATAAAAATTAACCAAACAGTAACTAAATGTATGAAATAAATTGTATAAAATGACAATAAGTGAGGTAACTAATAGAACTAAAGATTTAAAGAAGAAAAGAAGCCAAACATATCCCCAAAGATGAGAGAAGATCCATGCCAAGTTCAGTTTTCATGTCTAGCCTGCACTTGTAACCTATATCCATGTGTGACTTCCAACCTTGATTTGGATTGTTTTGATACAAATTTGAAACTAAATTTCAACTATGTTGTAGCTCTATGGATTAGAAAACTATGAAAAAAAACTTAAGTAAAAATAATGAAAATTTGATAGAGATATGATCCAAAAATTACAGCTATCTCAAAAAAGATATATTCAAAACAGTTTCAAGTATCAGCTAGAAATCAAGTAAAATGAGCTAAAAAATAATTGTCAATGAAAGTTTTATTAAAAGATTCTTTAAGAGCATTGAAAAACATTTAAGAAATAGTAAAATTGCAACAAGAAAATGTAAAAACAGAAATGAAAATGCAGGAAAAGAAAGAAAGAAAATTTTAAATCCTAAACTAACTGTCTTCAAATGGCCAACCCTTGCCCCTTATTTATAGGCAAAGGGGGGAGCCTCAAGTCTAAAAAAATCAAGAAAGATCTTTAGTTGCTAGACAATTCTAGAGCCTTCCTCTTTCTGTTGGTGTTGTAGTGTTGAGTCACACTTGGTGCACACGGGTTTGGTTCTTATTCAACAAACTTTGCAACTTCATCTTTCATGTGTGTTTGATGATGCATAAAGTCGATATAAAGACTAATCAAAGCCTCCCAAAATGCCAACTTAGCTCAGCTCTTTGGTGCACTCCAATCCTAGTGACATCTTGCAATTTTGGTGCTCACTCCATTCACACATGCACATCTAAGTAGCACGTATTTTTGCACCTTATATATATATATATATATATTGCAAAAATTTCAAACATTTTATGAATATATTTAGCCTACATTTTACTAAAAAAAAGTGTGAAAATAACAATAAAAAATATTGCAAGAAAAGTTAGAAAATCTCATTCAAAGTCAATTTTGCATATTGATACTAGTTTAGGCTACTTGCATAAATTGCACCAAGAAATTCCTCCAAATTTATATCAAAAATATCCAAAATTCTTCAATTTTATTATTTGTACCTAACATGAGATAAATGTGCATTTAGGATTAATTTTGCCAAAAATCCAAAGGAATAAGTCAAAATATGAATCAAATTGCACTAAAAATTATCATGAAAGGGTTAAATTTTAAGTGCAATCAAGCCTTGCAAGGGAATTGCAAAAGGTGACAACTAAGAAATCGTTATGCATCAAACCATGTTTTTAAAATTGTTCCTGGTCATTGTATTAATGTTAAAACAAAGTGTTAGCAATTTTAAAAAACTAGCATATATTAAATCTCTTTACTTGTGAAATAAGTTATCAATCTTATAAGTTAAAATATAGAGATACTTAAGGATAACATGTAAGTGCTTCTTAGAAGAAAAAATCCACTGAACATGACCCACTATGAGAACTCTATTTGGTATTTCACTTAAGTGCCTATGAAAATGTTTTCATGTGTCAATCATGTAAGTAGATTTTGGACTTGAAACACCAAATGATCTTTTATGTGTATCATCATATTTTGATTTAACCTTTACCAATCAAGGCTTCTGATGCCTAAAACGATGCTTTTGGGTATTGTTTGAATGATGCGAAGGTAAACAAGTAGTCAAGAGAGGATGATCAACACCTCAAGTAATATAAGGGGATATATCTCATCTATTCTTGGTTTTAGTTAGCTCGTAAAGTCTTCAATCGAAACAAGATAAATTTAGAAGAAATAGTTTCCTACTAAATTTATACATGTTGACTAGAAACTGCAAGAACTAACATGAAAGGATTTCATGGTAGACATTGCACCATGCTTATGGCCTTTAAGATATGTGATGAAATGACCTAATTGTATTGATGGACTGAACATTGAAAGATTATGTAGAGACTATCTTAACTCTCTAACATTTTGATGGTCATAATATATTGCTAGATGTCGCTCATAATCTATGAATATATTATCCTTATTTGATTATTTGGGTTTACTTGCATTGCCAACATGTTGGTAGCCAAATTTGTTACACACATTAAATTTCAAGGCTAGATTAAAATTGGGATTCAATTAAGTAGGATTTAATTGTACAAAAACTTACTATGTGAAAGACTTAATTGAATTGTTCAATTAAGATTAATGGGCCAAGTTAGAATTATTTTAATTCTAAATTAGGGTTGTAGTAAGACAAGACTTAAATATATAAAACCTTGTGAGTTTGTTTAAAACCCCAAAAAGGTGTATAGAGATACGTGACTAATGGGTTGTTATCATGTTTTCCCTTCACTTCCCAGCTGTACATGTAGAGAACATGACGAAAGAGTTCCTATTTTGAGGTTCTGCCACGGAAGGGATAAAACTTTTGATTTAGGCATTAGAGCCACCTTACTAGCACGAGGGTTCCCCATATCTTGGAGAAAGGTTCGGACTTGTGATTGTGTGGATCACCATTAGAAGTCAAACACTTTAGTGGCTTTTAAGTCTCGAGATTCCTTACCTTAAGTGTTCAAGCAAAATCAAGGATTGTCCTAACTTAAGATTAATATATCATTGAGTTAAGGTATGATCTTAATCATATGGATGATTACACAAACTAATTTTAGTTTCAAATAGTGTTACTAAGTGATTTTTGAAGGTTTTGATTTTGTTTGTTTTATGCTTTTAAAATTTGCTTCCCCTGTATATGATTTCTCTTTGAGCATGATCCTAAACCAATATGTTATGGGAATGCAAGAGGTGTTGAAGCTCTTTTGTTCTTACTTCGGTCTTCAGTTGGATTGTGCCAGAAGTGAAATCTACATTTCAATTATTAGCAAGGATGATCTACTTGCTATTCAATAGAAGTTTTGGATTCATAGCTAGTATTCTGTGTGTCAAATATTTAGGAGTCCCTCTTGTAACAAGAAGGCTTTTACTGACAAGGATTGTGTTCCATTGATTGAAAAGATCACGACTAGATTAACAGTTGGACAGCTAAGTTCCTTTTGTATCAGGCAAAATTTAATTAATTCAATCAATTTCATTCAATATACAAAATTACTGGTGCAGGCATTTTATCATTCCTAAGCATTTCCTTAGGAAGATTAATCAATTGTGCTCCAATTTCTTGTAGAAAGGTAAGGAAAGTTCACCCGGTGAAATGGTTAGATGGCAATTTCTGTCATCCTAAAGCAGAGGATGGTCTTGGCCTCAAGGATATTCTGAATTTCTAACTTGGAAAAACTTGTATCATGCATAATCTAGGCATATATTCTTAAAACAAGCTCATTGTGGATTGCGTGGATCTAGGCATATGTACTCAAAGGAACAGGCATATGGTTGGTCTCAGAAGTGCAAGACGATAGTTGGGACTGGAGGAAATTATAGATGCTTAGACAAATGGCTCGTCGGCTTATAATGTAGGATGGAGTGGAAATTTGACATTTTCCTGGGGACAAGTATTTAGTGGCGGCTGTCTGGAATGAAATCAAACACAAACAGGTGAAAGTGGATTGGCCTAAACTCTTGTGCTTCCAGTATTGCATTCCAAGAATATGATATTATTTCTTGGATGACTATTTTTAATAGGCTCTCCTACCTAAGACATACTTCTTTCTTGGGGGATTACTGTCAATGGTAAACATGTTCTTTGCCAAAGCAAACAAGAGACCAGGGACCATATTTTCTTTGGTTGTATCTATTGCAGGAGTATATGGGGTGAAATCCTCCAGCCTTTTAATTTGTATAGAGGAGTGGCTAGCTGGACTTAGGAGTTGCTGGCAAGCAGTAGACATACAGGGAAGGCTTTGGTCTCAATTCTTTTGCGTGTTGCTTGGAGTGCTTTCCTGTATCAGATAGCAGGGCGATAACAACAGATATTAAAACCTTTTTAAGGAGTCAACCATGCAGGTGCTAGATCATATAAAGGTTGCTGTCCGATTGAGATTTAGTTGGGTTGAAGAACATTGGGCTTGTGGCGTATATGTTTCATGCTGGGTTAGAAACTTGTGGCTAATGATGTTTTAACAGTAGCAGTGTTTCTGCTATATTGGGATAACAAAAATCGATACTTACCCCAGAAAAAAATAGAAGATTTCTAGTGAGTTATATGATAACCTAATCCATTTTATGGCGAAAGAAAAAGCCAAATCCACTTATATAACCCACTACAGCAAACCAAGTCATCAAAGTCAGTGCCGTGCCCTGCCCTTTGAACATTGAGGATGATCATTAGCATAGAATAAGAATGACCCCCTACCGCCAGAAGCTCACATGTCTAGTTTTTATACCAGAAGGAAAGATTTACTGCATAGATTGGGTGTTTCATGACCATCTATCGGTCTTTGGGGAGGAAGCATCTGCTGGCCAACGAATCGCCACTCTATTGGTACCAAGTCAGCAATACAAGGAATTCTAGAAATAAAAGACTCAGCTCTGAACTGAAAGGTTAAAGATTACAAGCATCAACAAGAACAAAACAGTAATAGGAAAAAGCAAAAAAAAAAAATAAGTAATTCATCAAAAACATATAAAATAACACAAAACAAAAATCTCTCTGAAAACACTATTTATCAGCTTGGCCTTCTGCTGCAGCTTCAAAAGTCTCACCAGCCACAAGTTCTGGTACATCATCATCATCCTCTTCCTGAGTGGCAGTTGCATCGACGCCCATAGTCGGTGTCTGCCTCTGGAATTGCTCTGCCAATTTCCTCAAGTTGTCCAAGTTATCTGGCCCTAAAAATTTTAGAGTAAGGGTCAAAAGTTTATTTCCATTTGCAATCCAGAAAAAAAAAAAACAAAAAAGGGAACTAAACAGAGCCAAGATTACATACCCAATTGGTTGATGATTCCGGGAAGAATATCCTGCAATTCTGGAATAGGGGAAAAAAACATGTCAGAATAACAATGCTAAAAAGCTAAGGAAAAGTGCAGTGGCAGAGAAAAACCCCTAATTTTTTATGCCTTTGGAGTTAATAATAGCAATTTTTCAAAGGGTAAATAGCAATAAGATTTAATCAACTTCAGAGGCTTTAAAGTTAAGAGAGGTTTACTCTTTGTCTGAGGGGAACCGCTAACAACCCAGGTGTTGGCAGCAATAGAAGCTTGAACTGACATATAGACCATCACACATTAGTTTATCATGCAAAACAAACATTTGAATATATTACGTGGTCCACTTCAAGTAAGCAATATCTACCTTTTGGATTATTAAACTGGATAACAACATCATCCTTGAAAATGTTGACTTCCTCGATTGCAGGAATAGCATTCACTCCTAGTCTCTTGAGGGTGCTCTGTAGCCTTTTGTCATCAGTGGTAGTTGTCTTGTGGACAGCCTTCTTCTTTCTGTTAACATAGGTTAAAATAACAAGAAAATGATTAATATGAAAACTATACAGAGACATCAAGATTCAAGCACTTATCCAAATGGCCTACACTTCAGATAAATTGAAGGTATGGATGACTATGAGGAAATATAAAACATTCCACTTGAAATGTTAGCTAATCAAACATTGCGCAGCATGCAAAAACTTGATTCAAGAGCCTCTCCTAAATAACTGAACAACACTTACCTCCACACTTTTGGAGATAATCCACCAATAAACTTCATATAGCTAGCATATCTAAGGAAATTCCAAACCATGAACATACCTTCTCATGCTACCCTTTCCGCCAGTGCGGACTGCACCAGCCATCTTCATGAGCCTCTCAACATTCATCTGTCCAAAGAAGTAAAGAGCAAGTCGGTAAACAAGAATATTACATCAAGTGAGACCTACGATATTCAAACACAATCAAAACATCGAAAGACTTGAGGTAAGAGGCTTATCATAAACGATAAGGCAAAAATAAAATAAAACAAACTACAAATGAAGCATAAGAAACACTCGTGCAGTCAGAATATACAATAGTCATGGAAATCTCAGAAAATATATCATTTAACCATAAATTTGTGTAGCCACTAAAATTGCAGCAATTCGATTAAAATAAGAAAAACAAATTATGAGAAGCAAATGAACTTCTAAAGCACACCTTATCAAACCACCGTTCTCAACCCTAATAAAAATTAAAAAAAAAAAGATTGAAACCAAAATTCTAAAAGGGGAAAAGACTCTCCAGTCACTACCTTATCCTTTTTCAAGCCTGTAATTATATGATAAGCAAAAAGAGAAACCAAGGGAAAATGAAAGAGCAAGCAATGGTGAAAAATAAAAACAGAGAATGCACAATCACAAGTGATAAAAAAAAACTTGAGAATAAAATACAAAAACACTAAAATGTTAATTGCCCTAATTTACTCAATCGTATTATGTGGCAAGCAAAAAGCATAAGCTAAGCTTGCACAGAATGCATGAAAAGCATAATCAAGGGCTGAGTTAAGCCTTGAAAGAAACATCAACCAGACCATAAGCATGTTTTCACTTAAAAATTTCCAAAAAAATATGAATAAGATCTAAAGACAAAAGAATCATCGATGCAAATAAAACTGACAGAAACAGAAGAGAGGAATAACTTCTTTTGTGGAATGTAAAAGAAACTGCGAATTAAGTATTCAACCTTTATCTGTATGAGAATGGATGCCGCTATTGCAAGGAAACGATAAAAATGAGGGTTTTTTAGAACCCAGAGAGCAAGCTACGGTGTTTATGATGTTAGGGTTTTTATCCCCACCCTTGGATTTTTAGGATTTTGATCCGACGGCTCCAGCGCAACTCAAGCCACCTGGCAAATGTTTGTCTTCGCAACAATATACATGCTTCGTCACTTTACTTTCCTTCCCTGTATTACTAGTCTTATGCATTGCACGTCATTCTACACACAGGGTGAAATAATAAATAATTTATTATTAGAATAGTTTAAAAAAATTCAAAATAACAATTATTTAAATAAATATGAAATAAAAAATGAATTATTATATTTGACCAACAATAAGTTTAAAACTATTTAAATCCATCATCTATTTTTAAGAAAAATTTAAACATTAAAATGTCCTTAATATATATTTTTTATTTTATTATGTGACTTTTGAATTTTTTTAACTAAATTGATATATAATTAACTGGTGATGCCAACTCAATCAAACATCTTATTTATATAAATTATTACCTTTGAGTTAATCCATTCATGAGCTTAGAGAAAACTTTTAATATAATATCTAAATCAATATATAATGTAATAATTGTATTTTAATTCAATGCAATAATCTATTTCAACCATTGTGTTAATAAATTTTTCTGACATGAATGACAATCAATCAAAATATGACAAATAGCATTGCAAAGCTAATGCATCAAAAAAGCATAATTTCAAATTGATGATATGGATTACATGCAGCACACAAATAGTACATGAGTGCTACTTTTTAAACCACATATGGCTATCAAGTAATATAGTAATAAATGAGTATAATTTTCTCAAAAATTATGTAATGAGCACTTAGAAATCAAATATCAAAATTAAGTTTTTTGGCCTTATATTTAGATAATTCAAAAGTTGAATAGAGTGGTTGAAATAAAATTAAAAGCTATATAAGATTGTATGAGAAAAAGTGTAGGCCAAATGGGTAAGCAAATGACAAGAGTGAAGCCAATTAAATACCAAAAGCCAAATAAATGAGTTGACCTTAAGAAACATAAAATCGAATGTAATGATGTTATAGAGATTGATTGAAATATTGCACAATATGATTACTTGCTAGCACTTGGTGTGGCTGAATATAAAAAAAAAAAAAATTGAAAAGCAAGTTTATAACAAATGTAGATGAAATGGTAAGCAAGAAAATTGAAAGCTTTAAAAGAACTTGAAAATGAACTTGAGCAATTGCATGAAGGTAAAAGGAAAGTGCTTTAAAATAACTTGAAAATAACTTGTATTAAAAATGAGAAAACTTGAAAACAAAGGGATTTGGCTAGTCTGGCACCCTAGCCAAACTTGACAAAGAAAATACAAAAGAAATTTGTTTAAACCAAAACTAGAAGAGAAGAAAAGAATATAGAAAACATGATGGTTTACTAGTGAGCGAAAAAGGTTTATTTATGGTACAAGGTCATGGGTAGGGAATGAACCTTGGCAATTTAATTCTACTTAAAACTCATTTGAATTCAAAAAGTGTTATTGTTTAGCTAAGATTAAAATGTTGATTAAGAAAAAGGATTGTTGAGGTGGAGTTTATGTGGCCGAAAGGCAAGCTTGGATTGGTCAACTTGTACCATCCTTGCTTAGGTGCCTATGCCATTTCAATCCTGTTTGACTTTTGAATAGAGGTATATTCGACTACTTTGAGTTTTTTTTTTATGATCTTGCTTAATCTTTTTCATTTGAGCTCAAACTCTTTTGAAAATTGAAAAATTCCTTATATATCACTCATATTTGACTTGGCCAAATATCATGCATAGCTTAAGGTTTATTGGGTCAACATCACATGTAGATTTGGATCACTTCAAGGCTTGTCACCTTTGCACAATTTTGGATTTGCTTCTTTTGCATGTATGGTTGAATGTGCCTAGGTTTTTGGGAGTATGGATAGTCAGGTGGATATATGAAATTCCTTAGGCTTCAGTCGAATGCTAGTCTACCACCTTTGTATGGACTTTTGAATTTCATGTGAACCATGCAGAACATGCAAACTTTTAAGCCTTTTTAGTCCAATTTCAGCTAGAATGCCCAAAATTTTCATGTATACCTAAAAAACAAAAAATTAAGCACATTAAGGAAAAAATGATAAAAATTCATCAAACATCACAAAATTTTCACAATTTAAGGTAAAGTTGACCTATGGAAAGCCCTAATTTTTATAATCATCACACCCCTACTCTAAGCTTTTTGCTTGTTCTCAAGCAAACAATCTCAAATTAATCATGTTGACAACCAAAATATATGGATTCCAAGTCAAAGTTTCATTAGTTCTCAATCATGCACTATGGTATAATTAGTGGATATTTATGAACATAGATAGACCAAAAAATTTATTCAAGAGTAAAATCCCAATTTTTTGTAACTTTTATATGCGTGTTTTTAATCTATCTCTAATCTATGTATACAATCTAAGCAAAAAAAAAAAAATACAAAATATGCCATTACATATCAATTAAAAGTTAGAGCATACTTTATAAGTTTATTTTTCTAATTTCCTCTCCACTAATATAGACTTACATACTTAACTCAAAATCAATAGGTTTTTATTTGATTATGATGTCAAGCTTGGGTTAAGGGTATGATGGAAAACATTTAGGTTTGAAATTTACTTATGCTTTACTTTTGGATTTTTCATGGGCTAGACAACTTTTTGAGACTATTCAAGGCTTAAGGCACCTTTTTTATTTGGAGTTTTTTTTTTTCAAAGCCATTTATGGTTTTTGTTTTTGCAACTCCTTACCTCCCAAATATATATATATATATATATATAATTCTCTTACTTTTGTCTTTAGTATCCATAAGCATGTAGAGTTAGGTGAGAAAAAGATTAAAAAAAATCAATAAAGGCTTAGGTTTAATTAATGTGGTTAATTAAACAATAAAAAGGATGATGAATTCTCAAAACAAGGTGACTAAAGATAATTCATGTATGGATCACCTTGAAAAGCTGAAACTATCCAAAGATGGTCTAAATCATTTTTTAAATCAAGTACAATCTTGGATTTTGCCTCGAGAGATGAATAGGCAAATTCTAAAGTAACATTCATGCCTTAAATTTTTATCAACTTTATACTCATAAAGAATAATACATGTCAAAGTTTTAGACTAAAGTGCACACAATGTGGAAAATAACAAGCAAAAGAAAAGCATATTCAAGATATCATTTTTTGCTTTCACTTCATTCATACTTGTCTAATAATCATACTTAAGTCAATCATGATCATCTTATGAAAAGTTGACTAAGAAAGCATTATAATGATTGTAGGCACATCAATTTGATTTGAAAATAGGTTTTCGAGGATAAAAATTTTGAAAACTTTTTGAAAGATTTTTACACTAGAAAGATCCCTCATCTACACTTGAATTACACATTAAAGTAAGTATTAAGGGAAAAATGGATACTTCTTTATTTTTTATCTTTGAGGCCAAACTATTAGGCTCTTCTAGCTCATTTGAGTCCTTTTTATTCCTACTAAAACAAAAATAATAAACTTAAAACATACATGTCTTAAAATATAGAAGAAGAAAAAAACTGTAAAACTTGGGTTACCTCTTAAGCAACGTTAGTTTTGGTCAAGTTTGACCATACCTAAAGTCTAAAAACTAACATTTCTTTTTCAACAATGTTTTCCTTTTCTGTTTCATTTTAGCTAGTATAATATAGGCTACATGTGTTTTTAGGATTGGACTTTTGGGCTTATCTTTTCCTATTTGATCTTAGTATGGATCCCTATAGATTGGTTTTTCCTTCTTTTCTTCTTTAGGTGAGACCTTACTTGAATATCATCATTTTCCCTAAAAATTCCTTGTCATTCAATTTTAAAGTTGATTCTTTTATCTTTAAACTTTAAGGTGACTTAATAATCATAAACATTAATTAAAACTTTAGAGGTTGTGAGGAAAGATCTTCCTAAAAAAAATAAGGTTTCTTTATCTACCATATCTAACACTACAAAATCTATAGGAAAAACATATTTACCCACTTTTACCAAAATATTTTCTATGATTCCATGTGGTTGTTTGGTGGATTTATCTGCAAATTGAATGCTAAAGGTTTGGGGCTTTAGTTCACTAGATCCAAGCTATATAAAAACATTTATAAGCATTAAATTGATGCCAGATCTTAAATCACACAATGGTTCTTCAAGAAATAATGGGCCAATTGAAAAAAGAATACAAAACTTTCTAGACCATCTAACTTATTAGGCAAAATTCCTTAAAATGTTGGGCTAAACTTGTCAGTAAGTACAATTATTTTCAACTCCTTAAATAACTTCCTCAATTTGGGCTTTGGTGAAGCTTGAGTTACTTCAAATGTTCTCTTCAAAATGGACACCTTAGGAGTGAGTTTCATTCTCTTCACTTTTTTTCCTTCTTCTTGGCTATTTATACTTGGAACAAAACTTTTTAGAAATTCTCTTCCTACTTAAAGTAAATCTCATCTTTAACCTTAACTTTTTCTTTCTTTCCTTTTTTCTTTTTTAGGCTTTTTTTTAGGGTCTTCTTTAGGATATTCTTGTCTTTCATTTTATACTTTAATGTATTTCTTTAGAGTTTTCACGAAACTTGGCCAGTTAACCACCATAAGCATATCCGTTATGCCATTATTATCTAAAATGTAGATTTTTCCTCCCTATATGAAAGGGTGACATTGCACACTTTTTTACCTTACTGCCTGAGGTTGGATTCAATGTTACTAGGTAAAAATCCTATTGGGCAATTAACTAAGGCATTAGCTAGCTAGCCCATTTAGACATTTATGTTTTTTTATAGATGTAGCCTCGTTTTAGAATGTGGTGGTTTGGTTTTGGAGTAGTTAGGAAAATATTTCTTCCAAGTTTGGCTTTTTTTCTTGTGATGGAGTTTAGTATTGTGACTATTGTTGTTGGCGAAAATTTGAGGTTTATGGTTGGTTGGTGTTTAAGGCATTGTTTTGGTGGTTGTTCCAAAAGAAGTTTAAGTTACTTTTCTAACCAGTGTTACAGGTGTTGCTATAGGGATTGTATGGTTGCTTACTGAATGGTTTTGGTTCT